ACCAATTAACATAATTAGTCAAAATTCAGCATAAATCAACTTAAATAGATTAACAATTGGCTTAAAAACATCTAAAAATCAATTAATCAATTATTTATAAAATCAAAACTAATAAAACTTATTTTTTATTTATTTATTATTTATAATTTTAATTTATTATTATATAATAAATTACTTAAAAACATATATTGCATTATATTTTATTCAAAAAAAATACATTTGATTTTTTAAACATAAGAAAAAATAAAGTAAATAATTAGAAAACACTAAAACTATTCTGAAAGACTTACCTTTGTGTATTTCTAAAATAAAGAAAATAAAAGAAAAAAAGGTTAAAAATCATCTAAAAGTATTTTCTGAAAGGCTAACCTTAGTTTTGAAATGAGAATTTTCCTAAAAAAATAAAAAAAAAAAAGTAAAAGGATTCAAAAGGCTTACCTTAGTTTTGAAAAGAAAATTTTCCTAAAAAACAAAAAAAAAAAAAGTTAAAAACTATCTAAAAATCACTTCTGATTTGCTTACCTTAATTTCAAATTTTGAGTCTAACTGAAAATTTTCTGAATATTATAACTGAAAGGTATTAGTATTGAAATAATATTATCAATAATAACATAATAATAATGTAATTCACATGACTTTATTTATTAGCAAATATAATTAATGTGATTAAAACTTTCCTATTGATTATATATATATGTAGAATTGGAAATTTTGTATGTATTAGATAAAATTACCATTGTACTTGTACTAATTTTTATATTAATTATTATATATACTAACTATACTATCTGTACTAATCATTGTACTAACACTATGTTTTTTAATCCTGTAGATATAGTTATAAACGTTTAATCAAAGCTATTTAATTGAATCTATTTGTTATCAAATTAAATATCACATATCAATTGATATGATTACTATAAAATTATTATTTATATTATGTATACGAATGATAAATAGTTTTCAGTCAAATGATTTTTGATCAAATATTCAAATACATATATATATAATATGCTAATTTTAATAAACCAATCTTTTTTTATATTAACCCTAATCTTAATCTTAATTTATCTAACCCTAACACCACGTTACAAATTGAGAGTGATATTTGTGATAAATAATAAGTTTTTACAGATTAAATAATAATAAACAAAGTGATGCAGTATGACAAATTATTATATAATCATATGATTCAAGTAATGAGATGCTAGAAAAGGTATGATTTAATCAAAAGTCACATGAAATATAAGATACACTGTTTAAATTTTTCCTAATTTTATTAAAAAATTATAATAAGAAATAAATAAACTAATTATTAATTTATTATATATTATATAAAATTATTTTAATCAATAAAAAATGTTTAAAATTCAATTTAATATTTATTATATAATAGTTCAAGATATTAAATATAAGAAATTTGATATTATAAGTTAAAATGGTAAAATAACATTATAGATAATATAATACAAGTATTTTTTTTAATATAAAATATAAAATATAAATAAAAATATTTTTTATAATAAATTTGATTTTTAATATAAGATTAACTTCTAAAATTATTTTTTCCTTCTATATTATTAATTTTAAACTTTAAATAAATAAAAACATTAACTATAATACTATAAAAAATTTTAATCTACTCATTAATTTTTTAAATTATACAAAATGTTTGTAAAATATAATATAACCATATAAATAAATGATTTTTTTCAAAAAAAAAATAGAAATATTTAATCTTTTCTCCTTAACTTTTTTCTATTATACTAATTTACTTATAATTAATACTAGTCCTATTTATTATTACTCTAATATTATAATACATATTTTTTTTTTTTAAAACCAAAATTCTATCTATAAAAAAAAAATTGTTTTAATACAGTTCCCAGTATAATAATTTAGATTTCCCAAAAATTTCATTATTATTTTAATCTTTTTTTTTTTAAAAAACAAAAAATTTAAACGCATAAAAAAAAAATCTCTTTTCCTCTAGGGTTCTGATTTCGCTTTTATGCTCATGTACCTAGGATGCCTCATTAAACGAAAAAGGTTACTTCTATTTTTTACATATTTGAAAATTACATCAATATGTTGTTGATCAAAATGTCTTTTTGAAAAGCTAAGAGAATGATACGTAGGTGTCATATTTTCCAAGAAATTCGCCAAACTAGCTGGAGAAAATAGAAAATCTCTAAATACCAATTCTCTGAGACCATTAGGTAGATGTTTAGCAATATCCTCATAATTACATATAGGATATACTCTGTCAGTAAATGTAATATATAATATTTCTAATTTTAACGAGACACCCAAGAAAGTCAGTAATGCATTAAATGCATTGTTATCACCATCCTTTAAAACCAAGCGACAATCTGTGAGATTTTGACAATGTCTCGTCATGACGGAAAGTACTGAAGGCAATTCAGATTGAGGAGTTATTCCTGCTAATCGTAAACTTTGTAATTGATTATTAGAATCTCTTATCATTTTAATTACCATATCAGCGGCCACTCCTGGATGCACATAAATTTCCAATCTCTGAAGTTGTCCAAAATTTACTTTATATAAACTATACATTTTTCCTGGACCTAATCCCACGCATTTCCATAATACCAAGTGTCGAATATTATTGCATTCAGATAAAGCCTCTAAGGAAGGACAATCAATGAAATTACATCGATTAAATTCTATTGTATTTAGATGATTAGGGTGATTAGCCAGTGCATTTAAAAGTTCTGGTTGAACTTTGTTTGTGAATACCTTGTCTTCTGGTCTAAAAACCAACCTAAAGTGTTCAAGTTCGCGCTGAACGTGCACTAAATTATGTAACATGTTCATGGAATTTACCGAAATTTCCACGTCAATGGTAAGTTGTTTAAGACTATGACATCTTTGAGATATTGACCATAAATCTATATCATGATAATTCCCTTCAACTTGCAATGAAACTATACGAGATAAACAAGTATTTGTCCCCGATAAGGATCCCGTGATAGGAATACTATTGGAAGCTCCAGACCAAAGTATCAAAGTTTCAAGGATGGGGCATTTATTCATTAATAATTGAAAGAAATTACTTGCAATTAATTGTACGCTAATATCTTTATAATGTCTCTGAATTTCCACCGATGCTGTTGTCAAAAGCCAATTTTCTATCGTTTCAAACATGGTTTTGCAACACAAATGTCGCAAAAAAATTGGGTAATCGAACGTAGCACGTTGTGGCAGCGGAACCTCACTTGGAAATGTCATCCAATCTTGCATTGATTGTAGTTGATCCTGATCTTCTATACACGAAAAATATGTTCGTAAAAGACTAGCATCAGCTTTATCTTTTAACAGCTTAAAAGGTTCCCTCCATAAAATTGGTACAACAATCCTGCACCATGATCTATTCACTAAAAGACAAGAATGTAATGAACTTCGTTCTCCCCTGAGATATTCGAAGATTCTAGCAAGACATTCGGGAATCATCAACGGTGAATTGATCATCTCCGATGAAGAGACTTGGAAGAAAATAATTAACTAAATGTAAGTAATATAGGAAATGATATTGTAAATGCAAATCGAATTATAAGTCAAATACAAGTCCTTGCACACCTTCTTCGAGAATCATCATATTTGGAGAAAATTGGCCAACTAGTTGCATTTGTTGAAGAACCTGTTGATTCATTGTCGAAACACCTTTAAAAAAAAAATCTTTATTAATATAAATTTAGTTATTATATTCATTTACAATTTAATAAAAGACCAACCTCTTACACAGCATTCAAACGTACAAATTTAATTTCTTTTTTTTTTTAAAAAAAAAATAAATATATACATACATACATACCGATACACAATGATATATAATAAAATAATGCAATAATGTTGAAATTTCGAAAATATAAAATACCTTCTATATATATTGGAACTTTGTTCTTTGAAATTTCCTTATTCAAATAAAATGAAATACCAAATAAAAAGTTTGAGCTTTTCAGGTAAAATAAATTTATCTTTTTATTTTAAGGTAACCCAAAAGGGTATCGTTTTCGCTTCAACTAAAAGAAACAAAACGAACAGGTCAGTGGTTAAATAAATTTTTTTTTTTTTTACCAATATGAAAAAAAAACTAACCAGAATTACGTAAGTCAGAGTCCGAGTATATTCAATGTGAAACATCGTTTTAATCTTTGCATCCTTTTCCGATTCGGGCAACGTCAAAGTGGTTGTCATTATGATTATCATGATTCTGGTATAAATTGGTAAGATCATTGAACAAATTATTAGTTTGACTAAGAATATCACATGAATTCAGTATCACAATTCGTGTCGAACTTTTTCTTCATAACTGAAGTAAATGTCTAAAAGTATACCAATTGTCAGTAGGCAAGACTCTTACTGACTATCACTATTTTACCTTTGGGCAAGTACTAAGTTAATGAGAACATTAGGTGAGAATATTTGCTTGTCCAAATTCTATTTGGAAGCGTAGTTAAATTTTTTTTTTAAAGCTTTAAATTTTTGATTATTCATTTTATCCATGATCCATTTATTTGATCCCCATAGTTAAATTGATGAGATAAATTCATATTATTTAAAAATCATTATGAAGATTGAATTCTCAACGAGAGATGTACTGATTCGAAATGTTGGTAATTATGATGTGAAGATCTATATTGGTCAAGGCGAGTGTTCAAAAATGTTTTGGGCACATACGGTTATTTTGCGTACTCGTTGTGAGTACTTTAAAATAGCTTTGTCCAACACATGGGCTACACAAGAAGATGGGTTGATTGTCTTTGTAAAGCCAAACATTCACCCAACGGTTTTTGACTCCTTACGCAGGCAATGATTCTTATACGATTTAATATTTTGATTTTGTCCATTTGTGATTGTAATTTTGTATTTTTAACAAAATTTCTCTTTATAGTTATATATATTCTTGTCAGCTCTGTTTTATTGAAGAAGAGGATGGGCCGGATGTATATGATCTGTTGTTTGCTTGTGATGAATTGATGTTACATGAACTAGCGGAACATATTCAAGAATATCTTATTCAACGTAAACCTGAATGGATGAATGAAAACCTAGTGACAATCCTTCGATCAACTTGGTTGATCCCTACGTGTAATACTATTAAACAACTTTGCATCGAAAAGATTTGTGATGACCCCTGGTTGCTATTCGCGTCAGATCAATTTTATCGTGTTGAAGAAGAAATATTGATCGCTATTCTTCAGCGTGAAGATTTAAACTTACCAGAAGTGTATATATGGAATAATGTAATAAAATGGGCCACTGCTCAATTGGATGTAGAATTAGATTCTGATGTATCAAAATGGAATTTAGAAGATTTTGCTTTATTGAAAGGGAAGATGAATAGATGCCTTCTTTATATAAGGTTGAATAATATTGATATGGAAGAATACTATCGTAAAGTTCGACCTTTTAAGAACATCTTCTCAAAAGAAATGCAAGAGAGAATTGAAGAATATTATTTTACTGGTAGAAAATTGGATATATTTTATAATCCTAGATTACCGTTTATTATTGACTCCTGTCTGATAAAGTATGAACATGCAGCACTTATCGCTCATTGGATTAATCGAGGAGAAGGAAAAGTGGCAACGAGAGAAAAGAATCCATTTAATTTTAGGTTGTTGGTACGTGGGAGTGATCATGGATTTTGTGGTGAAGTCTACGATCGAATTAGATTTGAATATCCCGCCTTATTAGTTTTGATACTTACTGAATCCGACGAAATGATTGGAGGTTATCAAAGAATAAATAGTAATTATTGGAGAATGTTTGGATATGATTATGATCGGGAAAGTTTTTTATTTCGTATTAACCGTGGGAATGTTAAAAGATCTGTTATTAGTCGCGTTGTACATCCTTCACATGCTGTATATAACCAATCAGGGTGGGGACCATGTTTTGGAGAAGGAGACTTGTGGTTAAAACGTCATTTTCGTGATCCCACAGAATGCGTTTGTAAGAAAGCTTCTTATGAAGCCCGGATTGCACATGACGAATCTTTTATAGTAAGAGAGTATGAAATATTCGAAGTCACATCATCCTGAATTTCGCAGGTATTCATTTTTTATCTGTTTCGCTCCATTTTAATTATTGATTTAATAATTTCATATTATTCTTTTTTATACCATCTTTATTGAGTGTACATATTCATTTGACGAATTTGAAATATTTTTATTTGGATATTATATATTTATGGTTCAATATAGAATTGATTAATAGATCTATTACAAATTTGTTTATCAAAATATTATGATTAAATATATAAGGAAGCAGTTATTTAATTCAGGTAAGTTTTGCTTTTTGAAGTATTTATTATATGAAATTAAAATTTAAAGCAATACTTATATATATTATATAAATTTTAAGGAATTGTAAATAGTTTTTTAATTTTTAAAACAAAATTGTATTTATATTTATATTGTATGTGATAAAGCATTGTAAAACTTATTTTCTAACTTATAAATCTTTTATATGCAAAGGATTAATTTATTGATTTTCATTTTTTTTTTAATTTATTTAATAATTCTCATTAATTCATGATTTTCAAATAATACTTTACTAGGATTTAGATGATGCATTATTATTCTTCGTAATAATAGTATTACTTGGTTGTAAATCTTTTCTCATGGCAAAAGCGTCTTCCCCATCCGCATAGTACTTATCTTCAATTTTATGAATCCTAAATACAAATTTTTTTTTAATTTAAAAAAGAGTAACCAAACAATTAAAACATCCTTTTAAATATAAACATATAAATTACCCAAATTTCAAAGTGTCTTTATATAAATTCAAAGCTGCTCTATTGCTTTTACGGACATGTAATGAAACATATTGGGCATTAAATACTTCCACCATATTTCTCTCTAAAATAAAAGGCCGATATTAATTACACGGATAGGTTAAAAGGAAACTTAAACTTAAATATTATGTACGTACGAGCTTGTGTCATTAATTTCTCCGCGACACCCAATCTACGATATGTCCTCATTACTGATAGAGATGTAATATGACCATGCGGTGCTTCTTCCGGATCTTCTTCCCTAAATAAACAAACTTTTAAAACCATTTCATTTTAAACATTTATTTTTTTTTTTAAAAAAAAGATCATTACATCTTGGCTAGTACATAACCAACAATTCTTCCTTTATGATCTTCGGCGACGAATGATAATTGCGGCCAAGACAATGCATGATAAAAATCTATTCAAAAAGAAAAGGAAAAAATAAGTTTATAACTTGACAAATTAAATAATCTATCTACATTGAACAAAAGAATATTTCACTTTAACTGACAATATTTCATTTGATAATTTTCAGGTAAATTCATTATATTACAATTTTGCATAGCAAGTAAATCATCGGACTATATTTAAACAAAAGAATTAAATTGATCTAATTTCCTTTAAAATTTAATCTTGAAGAAATAAAAATAATCAAAAAATGTAAATATTTTTTTCTTCTTTCTTTACATTCGCTTGTCTGATATTCATCGCTCCTCAATTTATTTATTTTTTTTGTTTTTTGTTTTAATAGAAGAAAGTCGAAAAATTTATCAATCAAAAATATTCTATGTAGAATATCATGTGATATATTCTAAACCTGTCGGGTATTAATTTCGGGACTAAACTCGACTCGTTCATCAAGGTGACATGAGCATTATATAATTATGGTAAAATGGCTATATTTGTTGTACGCCAAATAGAAGGCTTTGGAATGGCTATGAACGAATGATCGTGTTTATGCATTATTGGTAGAATAAAAAAAGAATTTCTCATATTAGGATTTTCGAGTATAAATAGGGTTTAGAAAATGAGATATATTTTTTGTTCCTCTTTATAACGCATAATTTTTAATCATCAAAGGAAAAAAAAAAAAACAAAAAAAACCCCCAACCTTTATAATAACCTTTATTTTCTCTTTCAAAATGGTAAGTTGGCAATAAAAATTTTGTTTGAGCGACCTTTCAATTAATAGCTCATTTTGTTATTTTTCCTATACTTAGGCCGGAACTCCAAAAATTCGCTCAAGAAATAAGGCTTACATGGAAAATATTCATCACAGAGGTCAAGTTACTTCATTGGTATGTTGTTTTATTATTTAACAAAAAGTGTCGGTTAAATGTCCATTAGTGACCTATCTTTGTTCAAGAGCAAAGTATCCTGACATTTTCTGTACAATTTACTTTTAATTGTAATTTTTTTTATGACGAAATTTCTTTTTGACTGATTTATTTTTTTTGCTTTCCGTTCCAGAAAAAGGAAAAGGGAGAGAAATCATCCATTGGTTACTTCACTTTAGGAATCATTCTTTTTGTAGTTGTTGGGTCTACTATCTTTGAGATTTTAAAATTGATCTAAAGACCGAATTTTACTTTTCTAAAAGTTCCAAAATATTTATTCATTTCACCTTTTTTTTTATAGTTAGAAATATTCATTATATAAAATAATAATACAACTTTTATTTTAATCTTGTAATTTGAAAACAGTTTATAGAATAATAATTATAATTATTTTAATATTTTAATAAAATCAAACCTTTTCGCTTATTATTTATTTGTATTTATAAATTATTAGTACGTGGTATAATTACAATTAATGAAAATATTGGATGTCTGTTATTTTTAAACTATTGAAACTATTGAATCATCAACTGGTTGTTGATCCGTAGTACCACTGGTTTCGATACTAACATCATCGGCCGGTAATAAAGTTTTGCTATCATCAACCAACGTTTTATCACCCTTAGCTATCGTAATTTCAAATTTCGAAGAATCAGAAAATGTAAATTTGGCTTTATATTCCGGTTTCGATTTTATTAATCTAATTGTAAAGGGTTTATCTGATATCGCCGATTGTAAAGATGGATAATATTGATGATATGCAAAGTATGATAAAAGGAATCCTAAAATTAAAGAATTTTGTGAGAGAGAGTTTTTTTTCATCGTTTTTTTATAAAAAAAAGGAGGGGAATGACAATTTACCAACTAAACTTCCAGCAAAGACGTCATGCCAATGATGACGATAATCTTCGGTACGTGAGATAGCAATAAGGATCGCTATGACCAAAGGTGAAACAACGACGAATCCTTTATACGTGTAACCTTTTTGGTCAAATACATGTAATTTTCCAGCAAGGTATAAAGACAAGAATCCCATGCCAGCAAACGAAGCTAATTAAACAAACAAAAAGGAAAGATTTATTTGATTTTCTCATCATCATCAATATAACTGTGTTGATAAATTGATCCTTACTTGAGGCGTGTCCGGATAAGAAACTTTTGAATCCATCATGTAATAAGTCCGTTCTAGTACATACCGAAGAATTACTCAACCCATAAACAGGAGGATCGGCTGCACCGGCAATTGGTTGGCATCTATCGATAAAATCAGGCCTTGGTCGACCGACTGTATTCTTAAATACCGCAGTAACCATGAGCGTCAGTGTAAGACCTGTTAATAACCCTAGAGAAGCATGATGCCAATCGTGCATATTTTTTTTAATTACAAGAGCCACAAAAGTCATGATAATAAATGGTATCACAACCACAATAACCTGTATTGAAAATAAAATAAAAAAAAAACCATAAAAACATTTTATTAAATAAAGTTTTAAAAATCTCGAATATTTTAGTAAAAAAAAATACTTACGCCGCATAACCACATTGGTACTCTTTCTTTTACGGCAAAAGGAAACTGAATCGTTTTATCTTCCAAAGAAAAGGATCGATGATATGGTTCAAATTGGTCTACTCCATAGAACGTGACAAGAAAAACAACACAAAGGACCCAGCTAAATAATAAATGTTCGTTAATTGATAAATACAATATCTAGTACATTAATTTGTAAAAATCCTTACTCCAAAGCATAAGCTTTAAGAAGTTGTTTCCTAGTGAATCGTGCCATTTTGCTTAGTAAAAACTATAAAGCAGTCAAATATATCTCTCAATAAATTTATAGTGAGAATGATTTTTTTTTTTCAAAATAAATAATAGGGTTACACCTTTAATATTTTTCGAACAGTTTTATTTGTAGCCTCAGAGGGAGTTAAACCAGTGATGTTCTAGTTTATTATCTATATAGAGAAAGTCTTATACACAAATCACTCAGCCCTTTAAACATTAATGGTTACATTTTTCGATTTGGATTTTTCTTAATTGGGAGATATATTAAAAAAAAAAGTTATGATGCGACGCGAGTCGAGAAAAGAATTTACTATCAATTTGCATCAAGCATTACCCGCATCTTGACAAGCCCTATGGGTAACATTTTTAATACAATATTTTAGATTTCTTTGTTACTTAAAACCGAGAAGAATATCTATTTATAACTGTATTACTGTATAGATATACTTTTGCATGTACGAAAATCCGAAAATCAAAATCCCGAAACCTATTCATCACATACATATGCAGCCATATTTGTCACATATTTCATAACGTGGGCCATGATAATAATTGATTTTCGGATTTTCGGATTTTCGTACGGATCCCCATCTAATCTTATCAAAAACGTATTTATTAAATTGAATATATATCCCAAATTGATTAGAATGAAATCGAATTTGTATACGGCATTGTAGGCTAATCCCTTATGATATCATTTCTAACCCAAATGGAAATAACTATCTGTTATATGTAATCATCAAATTAATTACTATAATGTATTTAATTACTATGATCAAAATAAATAGGAGTGATTGTACCTATTTTTAGAACCAATTCATTAACCAATTTTTTATATGATTTTTGAAGAGCTTATGTAGCCTATCCTTACTATGAAAGGTGCATAGGGTGACTAAGAATTTAAAGCTTTTGCATTGTAGAATAATATTATATATTGAATCCAATTCCAATTACCACTAAAATATCTGAAAAGAAGAAGTGTATTAAATATCAAGCTATAGAATCAACCAAATTTCAATCATTAAATAAAGAGAAATAGAGAGAAGTTGAAAATAGCAGCCTAACAAAGGTATTATTTTGTTATATGTGTTTTATAAAAAATCCCTTGAGAAGAAGTATTAAGCAAATAAAGATTACAAAAGAAAAGGTAAATATACCTTGTTTAATACTTAAACTTTCTAAAGCTATCAAGAGAATGGTAAAAATTCTTTATGAAAGAGAGCATATAGAGAAAGAAGAATCCATTTATGCATTTGATATAATGTGAGCATTATTAAAAGAAAAAGATCTTGTATTGAAGAACATTTTGCAGTAACTTTATTTAGCAATTTAACCTTCTTAGCATAAGAATCAAATAATGGATTGTATAAAGAAGATAATAGTTTTATTTGCTATCTACTTGCTTTATTGAATAATATGAAAATTAACCTTTTTAAGTTTGATTTAGAATATTATCTAAATTCATCAGGAACAAGTAATAAAAACTTGAATATCATGATAAGTTTTGGGATGACTACAACATTAAGGACAATCAATCATAGAAAAAAATCTCTAATATACATGAAGAATACATAGAAAATGCTCTTGAGCAATATTCAAGAAATATGCTTATGCTAAATGTTGATGATTATCACAATATTTCTGTCTAATACTACTGAAACTTCTTAAATAATACATATAGTAACAATTTTAGTGAATCTATGCCTGTCTAACATTAGCGATACCACATAATAAAGCATTCAATCTGAAATTTTTAAATAGTAAATTAATCAAATTAATCACAAAGTATCTTAATAGGCAGTTTATTATAAATCTTAGCATTTCTTATTACAATCGCATATAGCATTATATAAGAGAATGCTCTGATAAAGAGTTGATAAATAACCTGACAATACATATAATGATAGGATTGCAAAGAAATAAAATAATCACTATACAGTGAACTCTTAATATAACGAATTCTAGAATCTGGATATCAACTTCGTTATAAGCTTATAACGAATTTTTTAAAGAATTTAATTGGCTAGTTCATTATAGTAAGGTAATTTTAATATATTTGATTTAAAAATTCGCTATATCAAGAGTTCGCTATATCAAGGTTTGACTGTATATGTGATTCTATCCTATTTGATTTTGTTGAAAGTAGCTTATAAGGTATATAAGAGTATACAAATATACTTCAAATTATATACAATCAAAAGCTGATGCAAGGTTATCTGTCTAACTATGTAATTCCTATTATTGCAGGTTAGTCTGATCAGTTTTTTATTCATAAAACTATTGTGTAACAAGTTTTTGTTAAAAATAAAAATGTCTCAGAGTTTATTATATCCTTTCTTTCTATAATAAGTCCTCTTCATATGACTTTAAAATCTTGAAAACTAGTATTTTTGAAAAATTCACATTATTTAATAAATATATAAAGGTATATTTGAAGAGCATAAAAAAGCTTAGTATAAAACTATAGTCAACTTAATATTATATATTGTGCATATAATATAGTTTGATATAGCTGATACCGTTTATTCAAAATTTGACCTATAATTTAATCTCTCTCATTCTTGATGTTTATGTAATTTATCATTATAAAAGTGATTAAAAAGCATATGAAAAAGTTTGTGTTAGATATTAAAATGTTCTTTTTCTTTAATTTAATCAAAGGAAATATAAATAAGTTCCTTTTATATTTTTTAATGTTTTTATTGGATGAAGACTGGTCATCTAATGTTTAACATTATTACTAATTATCATATTTCTTTAAGTAATAGTCCTGTAGAAATTATTCACAGTATTATTCAAAGGTGTATAATAAAATTTCATATAGCTTAATAGTTGCGAAAGGAAACACACTTTATTTTTCTAATAATTTATTTTAATAGTATTTCATAAATTTTGTGAAATATCTGTATATATCAAAAAAAAATTACACACACTTTTTTATAAGTATGTTATATAGATTTTAGAGGTATTTTAAAGATATATCAAATATGTAATCACAATCCTTTGCTTATTAAATTCTCATTTGATGATATTAATACATATAAACTTTCTTTTTAGATTATAAAGTTACAGATTGATACCTTTTAAAAGTCTTTATTATTCTTAGAAAACTAAATATATTTAATTTATATGATTTTATGCAATGTGATCAAACTAGTAATAATTTAAATAGTAGTATTTTTTAATTTATGAGCATGATAATAATAACTATTATCTTCAAAAATATCAATTTAAGTATTTAATATGTTTAGACTATCTTCAGGATAAAATTAAAAATAATGTAAATGCATTAATAACAAGTATGTTAAAATATTCAATTGAAAATAAGCCTATCAATAAAAATATATAAGGTATAGATAAGAATGATTTGAATAATACAGAAGTAGTAACAGACAATTTAATAATAGAAATTTATTAGAATCTGCAAAAAAATCATTTTTAGAATTGGTAATTTATTCATTTATATATTTGTAAATTATCTTTATTGTAATTAATTAATTATTAAAATAAAATAATCTATATAAGTGATTTTGATATACTTAAAAATGACCTAAAGATGATTTTAAAAAATTCAATTTAATATAAATATCTAGTGAATCAGGTGAATTCTAAGAATCCTAAGAATTTGAAGTTAAAAAGACAATTCTAAAAAAAATATTAAATTATGATTAATTAATTAAAAAAATAAAATTAAATAAAAATTATATTATCAAATAAAATTTATATATTTTTTAATAAAGCAATATACTAATTAAATAGGTTGTAATATATATATATTACAACCTACTTGCATTAAATTGTTACCTACTTATGAGTAAATTGTTATCTTCTTATAAGTAAATTACTACCTTCTTACAATTATCAGTGCTCTGTGATCTTTTTATTATCTTGTAGCTATCCACTTGTTTTCATTATTCTGTGGTCTTTTTGTTACCTTGTAGCTATTCGCTTGATTTTATTGCTTTGTTTTCTTTTTATTATCAAGGAACTATTCATGTGTTTACAATGCTTTGCGCTCTTTATGTTTCTAAAGAGTTATTCGCTTGTTTTTCTACTTCTGGGCCTATTTGGTGGCCTGTTAAAATATCGAGAATGCTTTTTTTTTTGCGTCTATTTGGTTGCCTTTTAAAATATTAAAATAGTATAAAAAAAAGACAACGAATAGCGTAGTGAATTTGCGATTAATTTTGGTCAGCTCTATGTTATAACTCTGACTGATCTTTTGAACATGTAATTTTAGGTCCCAGCTTGGTAACATGATGGCGCTTTGATGGTGTCATGGAACCATCATGAAATTGTTGAAGAACTGGTAGGGAACTGGTAGGATACCTGAGATATTCCATTTATTCGCCAGTTTCAGTCCACTTATATGTCATCTTGGATACTGAGTTATTACGCCCAAAGTTCTGGCCGAAATTATGAAATAGTGTTAGTTGACATTAAGTGAATAAGTCTTACACGAAGACTATATCGTAGCTGAATACATACCTAGAAAGATAAAGCCTTCTTCCATTATTTTATATAAAGATTCTGAAGAAGGCTTCACTTTCAGATACATATCTACTTATCTTTATTTTATCATTTGCTCATTAAGTTCAGATAAAGCCTTCTGCTATTTTTATATAATATAATTCTGCAGAAGGCTTCATTTTCTGAATACATATCATATGTGATATAAGTCTTCTACCATTTTTATATAATATAATTCTGCAGAAGACTTATCTTCCTTTTACAATTTGTTGACTAAGTTCACTATTATTTCTTTTTGTATTCACTGAAAAAAATAAATTAAACATTTCCGAATTTTATAAAGTATTATAATCCTTTTCAAACTAACGACATGCATACCTCAACTATTTTCAACCAAACTGATCACACTAGATCTGACCTAATGCTCACCCGCTACGATAGCACTGAATCTGATGAATACTTAAGTGATTCTAGCAGTTGTACTGATAATGGATCCAAATTAGGATCAGATAATTATAATAATTGCGAGTCTAATTATGAGTCAGATAATGAAGAAGCTATCTGCGTCTCAACTAGCATTATCAAGACTCCATTTGTACAAGAGAGATGGGACTCACCTATTAATGTGATATATACTTTAAGGCAGGAAAGTTTAATGATAATTTTTCTCCCAAAAATTTGATAAGTGAAATCTGAAAAATCGCTTTATCATCATCTAGATATATGTCGAATGATAAAGGATCATTAGAATGTCTTCCAATTTATTCATTCTTCTTTCCAAATGAAAAAGGCTCTAAATTATATAATACTTATGACTGAAGTGAGATAGAAGATAAATTAAGTTATCAAAATCGACCAAGATGGTGATCATGCTCCCAAATTTTCTATTGCAGATGATATTTCAGAAGTTTATGGCCTACCTGGGATTCATGAATGTATTAATGGCCAAAACCTTTAAGAGCTGTAATTGACATAGATGCTTCACAAGAAGATATGGAAATAACTGATGTTAAGATGCAAGAAGTATTCTTTCGAATCTGCATATTTTTTATAAGAGCCTTGTATCGAATTCTTGATTATAGCTGAAAGAATATTTTTAATGGATTAGTAATCGCAGTAATCATTACATCATCGAACATTAGCAAGTGTAGCTACCATATTTTATATGCACTGGCTCTTTTTATTGATCATCATGAACTCAAAGCATTTACTGAATTAGTATATACTATAACTGGGCAAAAATTCGGCAAGTTTATCAATCGAAAATTACCTGGTCAAAATTTTAACCTTCATCTTATTGGTTTAGCAAAAAAGGTTGCATAAAGCGTATTCTTTAATTCTCTCTAGATAATGGCTGAAAAACTCGATCATGTTAGAATTCAACCGCCTCTTAATTTGGGACTTAAAGTAAGACCTCAGATGCTTAGTAAAAAAAAATAATCCATTAAAAATAATTATAGGTCAGGATGTATTGCAAAAATACACGAAACTTGTTTTGCAAAAGCATTCTAACTATCTTAGGGATTGGATTATCGAAAAAAAAGAAGAGACGAAGGAAAACTTCATTTATTTCAACCAGAAAGGTCCACTAGAATGCCTACTATATAAACATATACATAATAATGATCAGCAGTGGTTCAGTCATGTATATGCTAGCAGTAAAACATTCATTGTAAAATGCTTTCGGCAAGAAAGTGATGAACCTGAGGAAGTTTTTAAATGCGACCCATCTATTGCAGAAAAAATTCAGAAAGAAAATAAAAATATATCTCTCACCTCTTACAGGATAAAGGGTTTAGGTTTTTCTAAAGCCTTTATAAAAATGCCATCTTGGGTTAAATATAATGAAACCCTTACAGCGACAGAAATATATGAGGAGAGATATGTAAGACCATTACTCAATGAAAGCGATATCTATGTAATATCATCTTGGGAGACGAAAAAAACATATGTTCTAAAGCATCTTACTATATCTGATGATATGAATTTACTAGTATTATCCACGCGTCACTCTTACTTGAATGCTGTTATTACAAGACTCAATTTCAAATCATATTATAATATTAATGGTAATATAAATCTACCTGATCACAAGAGGGTGGTTTGTCAGATAGAAAGCTTACATCAGATTACTAATAATTGTAAATGCGGTAAAAAATGTAAATACCTTTCAATCTAATACGATTTATAGCTTGATGAAATAGTATCTATAATTGCTCAATCATAAAATCATCTGACAGATCAATCGATAGAAAGTTATATAAATTAATCCAAGAGGCGGGGTGTATTATTATTATGGATAATGACTAACTGACCTCAATATTGAATGAATTAAAACCCTTCACAAGTGTTTACCTTTCTCTATTATTCATAATACTTACCAGCTTCAGAAAGACAAGACGTTCGTTCTGCTTGGTCTTTAATAAAGAAACTGTATTAGCTGAACTTTGGGATTGGGCTAAGAAAATGACTTCATTACCTATTGAGAATTGGAAAAGTGCTTCACTTATCTGCTATCTCAGAAAGGACGTACAAGGGATTGTTCGTGCTTTTAAGACCAATTTTTCAGAACTACAAATCAAGAAATATCATGATAAATCATAGACCTAATTGCCTATACTAGTACTCTAAAAATAGAAGTATCATGTACTAATACTAAGTTTGAGCGAGCATTTTATCTTTTTAATAGCTTCATAGAAACAAATGCTAGAACGAATCAGATGTTATTTTGCATACGATGTATTAAGGATTATATATGTCATATCGAATAAAGATCATCTAATATTTCTATTACAGAGAAAGGATTATTCTAATGGTTGTTAAATGCTAAACGAGAATGCCTTCTCTGAGAACTTCAGAATAAAGGAATTTTCCAGATATAGATTCTATTATCTGGAATAAAAATGTGTCAACTATTTGATTGTGGGTAGCATATATGTTAGAAAATTTTCATTCTCGAGGTTTATTTGGTTGGAGAATGGTTGATTTTCTCTGAAAGGCAGGTATGGTAGTTTCTGTCATAGAATTCATTCCTAAATCTGAAGATACTACAATATTGCTATCCCAAACAGTGAAGGTGAGTTCTTCTATTGTTAAAGCAGAGGAGATATCAGAT